CAGGTGCAGCACTAGTGCTCCAATATCACCATACAGTATTAACTGTTAACTATTAACTCCCTCCATTGTTGCCGTGTTTCCCTTTGTCCTGTCAATTACTAATGATACCTTCTTGTTCTAACATTGAGTAAGTTCAGTAGCAATTGAAAAATGAGAATGAAAAAAGCCTTATCTCTGAACACATGCAGAATTAACTGAATCAAATTATTTTAATTTGAGGACAGGCTCTGAAGAGGTAGTTTTACACGCAAATGCTACTGGAACACTGTGCTCAAAATCTGGTCAAGTCTGCCAGTGAAAGTATGCTTTCACAAATATGTATTTCTGTGTACTGGCAGTCACAGGTTGTACTTCTGTGAAAGGAACTACTGATGTGAACTTTCCTCAGAAAAAACTTGTGATTTTTTTGGTGACAAGACTTTATTTAAAAATCAGTGGTTGAAGACAACTTTCCCTTCTCACTGAAGTGTCAACAAAGCTTATCAGCAAGCTATCCTAATGTTACCACACTTCTGAAAGGATGAACTACCAGACTAGATATGAGACACTTACATATTGCATGTCCAACAGATGGAGACGTGATAACATCATCAATTTTTATCCTGTCAACCACTAAACTATTAGTTCAGTTATGCATTTGTAAGCAGTATAAAAATATTAGTGAGAGATAAACTTCCCCACCTACAGGAGTATCATCTGTAATCACACATCTTTCCACAGAAAATACCAGGACAACTATCCCTCAAATAGCAAGAAGACCAGTTTTTAAGTATTAAAATGATGCTGGAGCACAATTAATCAAGGTCAACTCATTAGAAGCACTGAACTTCATAAAAACTTCTTAACTGGTCTACATAATGGCAAGTGTAGCACAAGTGCATCAGCTATCTCCATTCTCTTTTTATCAGTACAGAAATTACATCAAAGTTATTCAATGGGGCCGAGTACCTGAAGGAGAAGGCTGTCCTTTTACTACGCCGTTTTTAGTCTTTTCTTCAGAATTCATTACTTCTTTGTAGATAAGTTCTGGAAGAGAGAATTGTAAGAGTTACAAACAGGGACCAGCACCTGTGACCAGGAAAAAAGCAACTATCACACAGTGTTGTAGCCCTCCCAAGAGCACCCTAGGTCTGCCTTACCTTGTCTTCACAAATCTGATTGCTCTACTTGCCTAAGACTTCCATTCCCCTCCTCTTCTCATCTCTTTTTGGAGTTGAATTGAGATAAATGGGATTAAACTAGAGCACATGAATTGTTTAATGCTGCACTATCCATAAATGAAGTAGTACAATAACACAACACTTTTTACTGTGGCTAAAATTCTGATGCATCGTCCCACTGAACAGTTGTCTGTTCTTCAGACGATATCCTTAGATTTCAGTGAAGCACTGGAATCTGTGCCTCCTGTGTTAACATTAACTTGTGTAGATAATGATAGTCCTCAGGACATGCCTTATATTTTTGCTATCAAAGCACCAGTTTGTAGGGCTAATGTCAATTCTTTATGTCTGAGGAATTCTAATTTTAACACAGGCACACTAGGCAGTGGGATGTGGCATTTTGCTACTGAAATACCCCTTCCCATGCCTTTACTGCAATTACCTTTCCATTCCTCGATTGTATGTTCCCTTTCATCCAGCTGCTTATCATATATTTGTGGAGGAGGCTGCAGGAAAGAAACAAAGTTGTTTAGTCAATTGTCTCTTATATTGGAAATAATTAGGAGTAATTACTTAATTAAAGATAATTTCTCTTCTCCCTCTTTGTAATCCATCCTGTACACACAAAAACACATGAAACACCTCTGAATATTAAAGGGATTAACACTTCTGGAATCCAACTCTTTTTGTAGAAGAAATCAATATACTTCTCTGTTTTCCTCTTTTAAATAAGAGGCATAGTTGCAGTTGAAATAAAACTGCTACTGTGGCTGTACTGAGCCCAGAAACTCAACACACTGACTGTGTGCAGCAGTAGAAAAGTATTGTCAGAATACCAAGCAAATACCAATCTTGATTAATTAGTAGTACCATTACTATATTAACTTTTAAGTTGCTCTTTAGATTCACTTCTATACAAACCTCTCAGAGTAACTCTAATTTTGAATTAGATCTCCCTGCCACGGTTTCTGACCCACGTTCCAAATTCCCAAGCTTTCCAGTATATGTATTTTAATTAACTTTGCTTTGGACAGAAAGGTGTTTTTTTTTGTTTTTTGTTTGTTTGTTTTTAGTTGATGGGAATGTCAGAGAACTGGCAGATCCTGGAACTTACAGTCATATTGACACAAAGGCATCTAGAGTTTCAGGGAGCCTGAATACCTGCTTTCATTGGGTAACTAAGCCACGTGTTCATTGCCTCTCCTGATGTTAGCTGCTAAAGCACAGCAGCCAAGAAAGGCAGAGGACTCTCCCCTCCTTCCTTCTATCAAGAAGCTTCAGCATGCAGGTAAGACTATCTAATGAAGATGGAAAAAAGGCCTACAACACTTTTCTCGCTCATATGTATTTCCTCTGACTTCCACCTTGGGCACTTGGCCATTGCATCCCTTTCAAAACATCCTCCTATTAAATGCACACTTACCAAGCTGGTTTCTGATTCACTGAGAAGTTAGAAATCTGCTCTCAGGACTCTAACTCCATCAGTCCATTAAGCTATTTGCATGCTACAAACACAACTGAAAAAGTAATAGTTCAGTGACATAATATAGACCAGGAAAATTACACGATAGCTGAAGTGGACAAGTCCACTGAAAACAAGAGAAGTTTCTGCAGGGTGATAGATTTATCACAACTAAAAGTGAGGGAATCTGGTGAAGTCCTGGATTGCCAAGCCTCATACCTGAGAAGGTGCTGAGGGGGAATGTGAAACACATGTCATAAGTTAGAGTGCCGTGTCTCAGAGAGTTCTTGAGGTTTTGCTACATCAGCAAGGTAAGACACAACCCTCTAAGAAGTCTGAGACCAAAACCAATGCAGCTGTTCTTTTATTCAGCAGAACAACCTTTCTTGGCCCTTTCCAGTGAGCCCTGAAGCTTAAGGCAGATGCAACCGAGATCACGCAACCCCTGTGGGGATTCCATGTCTCTGCTGACAGTGTTATCAGAGAGCTGAATGCTACAAGAGTGCAGATGAGCCTCACCACTGACCAGTGGGATGTGGGAAGGAAGCTCCACTCCACCAGCTGAGTCTGCTGGATTCCTGCTCAGCCACTCAGCCAGCCCTGAAGCATGCATTTCCTATAAGGAAAGCAGAGAAAGCTGGCCAAGACAAGGAAATTGGAAGGCTAGGAATTTACAGGAGCAGGAGGTGAGGCATTTGGCTGAGCTGGAACGGAATCACAGTGACAGAACCACTGCTTCTCTGTGAGGTGGAAAGAAAACAGGTAAACCAAGTTGGACAAGAATATCCTGCAAGTACCTTTCTTTCTATACCCTTCAGAAAGGGGCTTACAAAAAGTGTAGGCTGTGAGTAAAATAGCTCCTACCAAGCATAAACACTGTTTTTACACCTAAAAAAGCTTGTATTTCTCCCACAGACAGAAATAAGAGTATGGATTCCTTCAGTACTTCAATTCTCAAACACAAATTACAGAACCAAAAGGAACAAGTGATCAGATGTATATACTTGTTCTCAGTTCACACAACCAGAACATCTTTGACTTATGTCTCTTCTAATTTATTTCAGCTACATTTATAATAATAATAATGGCCAGTCTTCGCGAGCGAAGATCCGGGGAAGGTCTTTACACCTTCCAGCCTGCGCATTGGATTTTTTAGGTGAGACACAGTGTGCGCGGAACTGAGCCCACCCTTTAATCCTAAGGTTCATCTGCCGGGGCCAAGCGAGCTTGGACAGTGGCAGTGAGGTCCTCAGGACGTAGATGGGTTGCCTTTAAGGGCTAACGAGCCCCACCTGCCCGGGACAGCTACATTTAAGCAGGCATAATTGGCTAATAAGCAACAAGAAAATCAGTAGTAATTGTTTCCTTGATTAACACATTGTGGAAACAAAGGTATTTTCCAGGGAGAGAATCCAGAATAATCTCACTTGTTACCAAACTCCTATTTTAAAGACAGCCACGGGAGAGCAACCCAACTGTACTTCACACACTGCAGGATGCCAGAAGCTGCACCTACACAGCATTCAGCTGCTCTACCAGTGTTTGTATTGCAGACCTTTATTTGTGAATTAGCAGAACCCACAGTTATAAACTATGGCTCTTGGCAGGAATGCCAGAGCCAAGGGTAACAAATATTCAGCGTGATAATGACATGAATAAATCCCTCCTCTTCACAGAGGTAGGATCTATAATCTCTAAAGCCTTTGCAGAGCATAAGAGAATGAAGCTCTGCTGAGAGGCCAGGCCAACGCTCTCACACTGGGAGAAGTGAAGCTATCCCATCAAAATTCCCTGATATAATGAAATGACTCCTTATCTTTTCACTGATTCAAGGCACAGAGATGACCTGAGAATACCACAACAATTTCAAGAATCTATTTTCCCACAATTCTCGTTAATCCTAATGAAAACCACAAAGCTTAATACAAAATCCCCTCCAGGCTGACCATCCGTTTTCTGCAAACTTATTTGTTTTACAGAGTTTTTTAAAACCAATTTCTAGAATTAGAAGGAGGAAGGGAGGTTTTTAAGGAAAATACACAAGTATTGTTTCAACAAAGGAGCATTCAGAGGAGCTGCCATACCAGGGTCCTCTTGGGCACCTGATTTCAGACTTGGTGCAAAGGTTAGCCTAAACTGACTTTCTAAATATTTGTAATCATTAACTTCCTATGTGATTGTAGCTGTAGTTTATAGACACTATTATATGTCATTCATATAGCACATGCCAACTGAGAGTTACATGGCTTAGTTTGTACAGGTTTCAGAGAAAGTATATAGTTAAACTAGCATTAAATCAAGGCCGGGTGTGGATCAATCCTATGGGTGGCAGCATCCATCTTCAGTGTGAGGCTGCCATTTTCTCCCCAAACCAGACTGATCTGTAAGGAATTGCATTGGCAACACTAACAAAGAATAGAATCGATTTTTGGATGCAAAAGCAAAGGAATTAATTACATTTTTCTTGTAGATGTTAAAAAAAAAACCCTTGTTGTTTCAGTGGTTATTGGTTTTTCCATTTTACAAATTGATTTTAAAAATATTTTTGCATCAGATGTAAATACAGTGAATATAATAGAAATTACAAAAACTCCAAAAGAAAATATCTATGTGGACCTTCTTCTGGAAAAAAAAAAAGCAGCAAACCAAACAAAGAAACAAAACCAATCCAAAAAACAAACTGAAAAACAAAACACACAAAAGACAGGGGTTTTATGTGGTCAGATAAACAGCAGGAGACTACTGGAATTGTTAAATACCTTTCTAATATCCAGGGAGGAAAAACCTTTCACTAGAGAAAAAAGCAAAACATATATTGAGGCTGATGCATTCTCACTATCCCAGAGCAACACAGATTGGTTTGTATGCCACTGCTGGAAAGCAAGGGGAATGGACTGAAGGTCACACTTGGATGCTGGAGCTCACACTCAAACAAATCCTTTTGTCTCTGTCCCTCCCTCTGCAGAGCTAGTGCCAACACAGTGGAGACCCTGGGATGAGCTGTTTTTAGAAAGCTTGACAGAGGAAGGCTTGAGTCTACATTTGTTCCCGGAATTGCAGGGTCCAGAGCAGCAGTTGGAGCTGCATCAAGGGCAGTGATAGAATTAGCAATATACAAATAAAAGAGGGACTGGAGGCTGTAAAAATTAATGGTGTGAGGTTAAACATTTTGTTAAATGGCTTAGATCCTCCTAACAGGTGAATATAAAAATTCCCTTGTGTTTTGCCACAACCTAGACTGTGTTACTGATATCATTTATATATTTATTTCTGCGGTGCAAGACAAAGTACACCAGAGTGCTTGCCACCAGAGGTCTGATGTCTCTTTACCTAAAAAGGAAGATGTCAAGTGCTTTCGATTTCACCCTGTAATGCTGAGGGACTCCATAGTGGGCTAGGCATCATCTCAGCAATCAATATGGAAGAAGAGATGCCTCTGAGTCCATTTGTTCCTTTGAGTCTTTGCAGAGACTTTTAGAAAACTCCACACATGGTGTGCCTCACAGAAACTGGGGACTGAGCTGTTTCTGAACAGCTGGACTATAAGGATACCAGACAGCAGGAGTCAAGTTCACTTGGCTACATGCAGATGACTGAACAGCTTGAAGATAAAACAAACAAGCTGGAAAAAGATTTAGTTTGGCTTGAAAAAGAAAAAGAAGAAAAGAAATGCCTCTTTCTTCTCTAATCACTACTCCTCACTGACATTAACAAAGATTGCTGTTTTTAGCTTCCACAGTTAAGCATCTCTAAACGGATAGATGTTGCTGACTAAAGGGAATACCCATACTTGTGTACCAAGCAGAGTTGCATGCTTCTTTTGTGAGACAACAAATGTGCACCATCAACCTCTGTGTAGAAAACCAAGCCCTTTAACTGACTGCTAAAAAAAAAACCTGTGGCAGATCATTGAAGACTTTAGATACAATTTCTATACACTCAGAGCTGAGCAAGAGAAAAGAATATCAGAAAAGGTGCACAACCTGGCAGCCTTGGTTTTGTCGTGTGGTGAAGGTGACACCTTCTTTTAAGTGTTTGTTTGCC